GAGCCGTAATATTTGGCTTACAAATTCCTGTTCAGCTTTAAGAAATCGATTATTAATCGATTAATCGGCTTTTCACAGTTCCTCAACGTTCAATTGATAGAATATCTATGGATAGATTATAGGGAATTGGAGCTGAACAAACAAAGTCTTGATCTGAGTGTTAAATAATGCTAGCTTCCTATTCTTCTCTTCCCATCGATCTGGCAACACTATCGTCAGGATACCTCAAGGCTAGACATAGGGTAGCTGCCAGTCTTGACTAGCTTTTACTGGCGCATACCGATTGGGGTTTATCAATTGCCAGTGACTAAAAAGAAAGGCGCAGAAGTAGAGCACGCGACCAAATCCCAAATAGCTGATGATACTGATAATTCTGGTAATTGGTGGCTTCGAGTGTCTGGCGGTATCTGGTTTTGGTTTCTCCAAGTCATTGTCTACTGTAAACATGATCAAGTATCTGCAGATTAAGATCGAGGCATTATATATATATATAGTGTGTTTTTTTTGCAGATCATCGTCGAACGTCGCATATATGTACATATGTGTCATAAATTTGGACTAATGCATTACCTGGTATAATTTGGGCATATTTATGATGCCCATCGGTATTTCGGTAATTTGTGTTTTACAGTCTTTCGGTAGTTAAACAGAAGCCGCCATTCATTAATTATTGGCGGTAGCATTTGATCAAAATACATCAAACGATATAAAATGGTTTAAGTAATTGCTTAAACAAGTGGCATTTATTATGGGCCTTATCTCTGCAGGCCAAAAGTCCCACCATTGTAGCCCATTGTTCTCGAGAAACCCAGATACATATATATACACACTATTTACTATACTACTATTATAACTTACTATTTAAGTAAGTATACTTGTTCTAGTAATTGACAGTTCGCTGCTAAAGGCGAGTCCAAAACTGCAACTCATCTATATAGAAAGAGACACACAACGAAGGTCAAGAGCACTCGAAGAACTACGAAGATATATGAATTGCTTTATCGACAATTCCCCAAATCGTGATATTAGTTAAAACAGACATTAAGTTTCGACTGTTTGTTTTATAAGCAAGTCAAATATTTAGCACGCAATTAGCTTTCATTTTTGCACGCTTCAAATATTTATTTGCTATAAAAATAAGTTGAGAATTCGACTACGCCACAGCCCTATAGCTCTATAGTTAGTTTAGAGCTGGAACCGGTTGAAATATGTAATTACTTTGGTAGAAAATCCCGAGAGAGACAAAGAGAGAGAGAGAGAGAGAGGGAGAGGTTTGAGATTTTATCGGATTGTATTATATACCTGCATCATATATTTCCACAATAGCTATAAATAATTGAGTCTTGATTCACGCGCTGACTTTATGGCAACTAATTCATTCTCGTTCTGAGAGATGAATAGAAAACAATTATTCAACACTTGTTCTAGCGATTCCACCCACAAGGGACAGACGGAAGTGGTGAAATATGCGTGGAAATGTGCAGATTTGAAATGATTTGATGTATTAGTTATGGGGCCGTACATAACTCAATTAAGTTGGGCACACTGTTATTTTAGGGAAAACACGACGATTCGCTCTGGTCAAGCAAGCAAATAATTGACAGCTTTAAGCCAAGCAGCGTGAAATATATTTATTTTTGTTTTCGTATTTTCAATCTCTAATTTATTCAAGCGTTTTGTTTTTAATGTGTGCACAAAAAAAAGGTTATGTATTTTTGTTTTAGCCAGCTACGTGCAATCGGGTCAAGGGCAATGTTAAGGGGAAAAAAATGTTGGCGGAAAATAAAAGTGGAAAAAAATACATAATTATGACAATGGCACGACCGTTGATTGATAATTGCATATTATTGTAAGCTGTACCCATTGCAATTGAATAGAAACGGGTATATTCAGCTGTTAAGCAGGCAAAAAGATAAAATATATCTCAGATACCCAATAATCAGCCAGTCGAAGAATCGAGTTGAACTATGAAAAGAATACGTGAGTAGGAACAAAAAGAATTTCAATACTACATTTAAGACAATTAAATTGTCTTTGGCATGAAAGAATGTTTATAAAAGCTGAAGACTTAAAATTAAGGAAGAAGTGCGACTTTTTAGGTATATCTATAACTGGAAGCTCTCGCATAGCATATTCATGATGTCCAGCTAAGTATAGGGCATCTGCTAGTCAAGCACGCCCAGCTAGAGCAAACTTAGGCAATACGCGCAACTATTGCCTAAGGTGAAAGTGAACCAGAATTTATAGAACAAAACTTCAGATATAAATTCCATTCATGTAGCATAAAAGATCATTTGTGTGTGGAACTAACCAACAGTTGATAGTTTATGGCCAAGTTACTTTGGCATTATAAAACGATAAAAATTGTCGCTTTGCTTATCTTAATCTTATCGTGGGCACATATATCCATAAATGACTTTATTTAGCAACCCGCTAAGCGGCGCAATGATCCATTCAGCAAATATTTGTAGCATATCGTAAATGTCGAGCACAGTGTAAGCTTTTCGGCTCACACAAATATATATACATATATACATATATACATATAAATATATATATATGTATATTTATATAATGGTCCATAAAGCTGCCTAATTGCAAAATTACGACAGGTGCAAGGCGATAAGTTGCCAGTGCTTCGATAAAATGCTAAAAACAATAATTTCTAGCTAAAATACAAGTTCTCTAGATAACACACTCCTCTCCTTCTCACTCTCTCTCTCTCTCTCCCTCTCACTTTCGGTTTCTTCAGTTAGTCCAGAGTTTAGGGAAATAGAATTTCCAATCGCGCTTACATTTCAGCGAATTTTAAGTACATGTTCCTTTTAATGACTAAAAATGCTGCAATTTCATGTGATTGATAGCGCGATACCCTGTAAAAGTTGTAACTAACCCAAAAATACTTGAAGAATACTGCATTTATCCTAGAAACTTATAATTATTATATTTTATAATAGATATTTATCTGACTGAAGAAACTAAGCGTTACCTAGGCCTAGGACCCTGATTTGAACCACGCCTAAGCCATGCACATAGCGCAACGGTTTGTATTTTCTAAGATCTGGCAGGATATGGCAAGATATGACCCATAATATATCCTGCAGAGCACGAACCGAGGTAGGAAAAGTGCGAGCGAATGATTTAAGCGGTCGTGCGCCTTGGCTGGGACAAAAAGTCTTTCCGCTCAAGCGAGCTTTCACTGTACTTGCCGCCAATATACAACATGAAATATGCCTCAACTTAAACTTATATCTTATACTATACACAGAAACAGTTTCCAGACTTTACAAAACTACATTAATCTGATGCAACAGCTGTAGGCTCTGCTGATGTATTGCCTGACGAACCTAACGTGCCGTTTCAGTCTTATATTACAGGGTATTCAATGGCAACACGCCTGTGATTGACTTGTGATACGTACTTGTATCGAAAAGCACACACAATTTATGATTGCAAAATTCGGTTTGTTTTTCCTGCATCTGCGCATTGTTGTTGTTGTTGTTGTTGTTTTTGGTACACTTGATATGGTCGTAATTGCAGATAGTGTGAAAAAAGAATCGGGTTTACAATTAGGACCGTGTTTGTTCTCGCTAAATAGCGTAATGAAAAACCTGTTAATAGTTTTAATTATGATTGTGTCAGCAGATCTAAAAAGAGCGTTCCAACAAAGTTCATTTAATTTCTAATCTTTACCACAATTATCTTAGTAATAGAAACAGTTAAACAGAAAATAGTTTTTTTTTAAGAATTAGTCTTTTAGACATTAATCTCGCTATGAAAAACCTCATGATCGATCCACTTAGGTAAATATATATTTATATATCTATTGAGTAACTTGAGGTATTATATGGTTTATAGTTTCTTAACCAACTTTCACAATAGTTTGAATTATCGTTACTTTACTAGAATGCATGACTCAGCTGAAAAAAGCCTGGTTTTTTTAATCCCATAAATTCAAGAACCTTATCCGATAAACCAAATAAAAAACAACACTCACCTCATTTTGTACAATTCCTTACGTTTCAACTGAGCGACTCGCAAATTAAACAACACTAACTATCACGTTTGAGCATTGACCGAATTTGCAATAAAAATAAATAAATAAAAAAAACGAAAAACGAAAAACGAAATACAAAAAAAAAAAAAAAACAAAAACTGCAATTCACATGCAAATTATGTTAATATTTAACACGAATGTCGCGTTGCAGGAGCCGCTCAGAAAGGCGCTGATTGCGAATTCTCTCAGTTGCTGTTGGGAGCCGGGACCGAGCTGGTAACTGAGCACCTGTCGCGTTAAACTTCGACTGATGTGTTGGGACAACGCACGGTGCCGCATTACAACTTTGTTTCAATTCCATTCGATTCGATTTTGCATTTTATTTTTTGTTTTTCTGCTATTATGTATATGCACTTTATTTAACTAACTAACTGTTCTTTATCGAAAGAGTCAGCGAAACTCACACAGCCGACACGCACACAAACACATAGGCACGATCGGGCGCAGAGAGCCGCTCATGGCGTTACGCTCACTATTTTTAAATTAGTCGCGATGTGAGCTTGCGGGAAAAAACGAAAATGAAACTAGCAAAAGCGATGATAGTAACACAGCAACACGTGTGTGTGTGTGTAAGTGTATGGATATAAATATATACATATGGATGTATACACGTGATATACATATATATACATACATATATAGATCTGATGCTTAAGCTGCGTTTAGGGCAGAGTTAGCAGCCGGCCGGGTTGTACTACACATGTATATGTACATATACACATATATATATGTATGTATTGTTTTTTTCATATGTATGCGTAGGTCTGCTCAAGCTAAACTTAAGCTTAATGAACAGCTGCTTTTTTTTTTTTTTTTGCTTTTGTTTCTTGTTCAAAAAACAGCTGAGTTGGCAGCTGCTGTGCCTTTATGCTTAAATGTTGGCGCCTGCTGATAGCGGTACACGCACACGCACACGCAAACGCACACGCACACATACAAAAAGTTTCTCACTAAAATTTGCCTTTAATTTGTTGCGCATGCAAATGCAAAATATGATTTGTATATGCAAGGCAAACTGTTCACTTAAACGCCAACTATTTCAAAGTACTCCAATTGCAAAGCGAGCGTCTTTTTGTGTGTTTGTTTTATGTTGTATTGTTTTGTAATGTTGCAGTTTCTTTTTGTGTTGTAGTTGTAGTTGTTTGTTTTTTTTTGATCGGGCCGCATTAGCGCCAACGTCCCATGGGCCCAGCTACCTTGACAGTGTACTTGGTGGTGCGCCTCTTGGCCTTCATCTGCTGCTCCTGTTCGATCATCTTTATTGCAGCCGGTCCAAGTGCCACATACGGCATATTCGGATCCGGCACAGTATGCAGCGGCAAGCCGTTATGCGCAGCCTTCGCCATCCGTTGAAAGTTGGGCAACGGCGCGTTCTTCTTCTCGTGCGCCAGATCCGTGTAGCCCAGCTTGCGTCGCTGCTGCGGCGTGATCTTGTTGCAATGGCACAGCTGATGGATGCGCAGGGCCCGCTCCAAATCGAATGTCCGATCACAGAACTTGCACTGCTTGCCAGCCGGTACGGCCGTCAAGGCCGTGCTGCTCTCGCGCAAACGACGGCCCCGGAAGCGAACCAGGAAGTCGTCGTCGTGGGTGCGACGATGCGCCCCCAGCAGCGACTTGATGTGGAAGATGGCGCCGCACGAGCTGCAGCTGTAGGTGGGCTTGTTGATGTGCTTGATGCTCAGCTGGCTGCGTCGATGCGAATGGCCCAGGTGCTGTTCGTATTCCTCCTGCATGGCGCCGCGCATGGTGCGCGACAATTTCATCTCGTCATCCTCCTCCTCCTCGTCGATGAGGTCGCGCGGCGACAGGCCGTTGCGGCGTGGCGACTGTAAAAAAGCTGCAGCAGCTGTAAGCATAGCATAGGAATCTACATTCGCTTTAGCTGGTACTTACTGTGAACGCTCTTTTGGCGCGCCGCATTCGAGGACGTGTCGTCCTTTATTTTGGATTGCGATGACTTTTTGTTGCTGTGCTTGCGCCGATGATGGTGCCCACCGCTGCCCCCTTCGCTGGAGCGCTGACCGCGTCGTCTGATTGCGCGCGAGTTGGACGTAACATGATTCGATTCGGATAAATAGTTCAGTTTGCGTTCCACAGCTTTGTGTGCGTTCTCCATGTCCGATTCCAGCTGATCGTATGTCTGTATTTTTATGTTGCGCTGATATTGCGCGGCTTTGTTGTGTTTCATTTTTGTGGTTTGGTTTGGTTGCTAATGTTTATTGTTGTTGTTGTTGTTGCTGTTGGTATTATTTATGTGCTGAACTTTGTGGCCGGCAAAGTTCATCAAATGTTATGGTAAAATTTCTTAAAAATTACTTTGTATTTACTTCACTTCCCCAAGTGTAAAATATAAACTGAAGGTAAGCAATACGAAGCAAAATGCAACGCATGTTGAAATTGATTTTAAAAATTTTTAAACATTATTAGTGTTTAACAATGCCCCACAAAAGGTTTTGGTACGCCTGTTAAAGTACAGATGGCGCTGCTTTCAGTATTTTCTTATTGAGTTTTTTTTTTATTTTATAAGCAAATGCATTCGCATACGAAATTAATTCGGCTTCCAATATTAAAATATAAATTATTTATACCTTTTAAATTGCAATAAACAAATTTTAGGCTCATTTTATTTAAATTAACAATTCCATATTTTGTTACGAGTTCTGGGTTTTGTCCACGTTACGTTACTCTTTTTGCGCATACGTTGCTCTTTCCTGCGCTACCGCACTCTGGTTATTTACGTGCCTGTTACTTACGGCTGGCCGCGTGCATTATTTTTGGCAGCCAACAATAAAGTAATTGCAGCCCGCGCGAAGTTACCAAAAATCGTGCGATTATATATATTTTGCCACGACACAGTGCAAATTCGCAATTAAACCAATTTTTGTGTAGTGTCGTACTGTTGTGAATCGTTGGTGCTGTGGCATTTGGAATATGAGTGATACGCGTGAACAGATTTTGGAACAAATTAAAGAACAAGGCGAACTCGTGCGTCAATTGAAAGCGACGAAGGAGTCCAAAGAGAAGGTCAGTATGAAATACATATCAAATGCAATTATATGTATGCAATGCATATATATATATATATATATATATGTATGTATATGCCTGCATGGAAACAAAAGCATTTTCAGTGTGCACATTCATACACACATTGTTTAGCCGTGCGTACGTACGTACGTACGTATGTAATTATGTATGTGTGTTTGAGTGTGCCGCTTGCCATGCTATTTTAACCCCATGTATACATATATATATATATATATATTCATCTGAATCCTGTTGCACTTCCATCAAATTACTTGGACGTAACGATAATTACGTATTTCATCAGCCGCACATGCATGCGTACATATGTACGCAACATGACACATTCGCTTTCCCCCTTTTCTCCCCCCGCTCGTGCTGCGTTGGCAGCTTCTCATTATTGAATTTCAGCTCTGTAATTAGATTGCATGTACATAACAGGGAGCTTAATCGACAGTGGCAACAACAACACAGAACTTTCACATTCGACTGCTGTTATTGTTGTATTTATACTTGTGTTGTTGTTGCTGTGCAGTGTGGCCAACTTAAGAGGGGGAAAAATTAAAGCTAGCTCTAGGTGAAAAGGGGACATGGAAAAGCTACATATCATTTTCCAACTGGAAAAGCATGCGATTATGAGATTTTTCCATTTTAGATATGTATATGTATTAACTACCTATAGGTAATGCAATATTTTTTGGCCCGGCAAAACTAAAACTTTTCGCTCATTTGATTGAAGACTGTCGTAACTTGGAAACTCGATTACGTAGAAAACTCTTTTTTAACTTTTTCAATTCATAAAAGATTAGATTCTCACGTGAGAAGCATATAATATGTAAATATGCAAATTGCACACATTTTTAAGCAAGATATAACAAATAATTCTGAATTCAAGCAAACGAGCGATATGTTCAATCTGTTAATAAAACATATATATTGTTGCGATATAAGCGGAATTGGTCCGCCAAATAATTGAATATTTGTCACGACAAGCCAATTAGATAACCCTTATAAGAACTGACAGTCACTATTTTAAGTTTTGCCCTGCATTTAAACAAATTTTTTTTCGCACTTTTCAAACACGCCAAATTAGGCGGAAAGCAAGAGATATTGGCAACACTGTCCAAATTGAATTGCAATGCCTGGTCTCTCAGTCAGTCAGTCAGTCGGACTGGCAGCCTTCAAGCAAACCACTGCGAGCTTTTTAACCGTAACCAGCCCCCCCCCCTCCCCTCCCGTACCATCCCTTCTTCCCACCGTACATCTGAAACTTGGTTGGTTTTGCCCCCTTTTTTTTTGTTGTTTCTAAATGCTGAATGCTACTGTTATTGTTGTTGTTGTCGTTGTCGTTGTTGTTGTTGTTGTTGCTGTGATATTTTGTGCTCATGACCGAGTGACTAGCCAAGCGAAGTGCTGTTGAAACCGGCTTGGCAACAAATGACGCTGCCTCCTCCGCTTGTGCATGTGTGCGTAAGCAGCATGTCAGGGCAATTGTATGCCGTTAATGGCTATTTTATGCGTTCATTGCATTCAAGAGCACGGGCATCAGCTGTTGCTTCGCAGTCGTAAAAGGTTATGAAAATATCGATATATCGATATTCAAAAACGAACTATAATGTAAGATATCTGGCATGATTGTTGAAATTATACCAACCTGTTGCTAGGGTCATATTTTATGTGTATAGAAAATATGTTATAAAAAAGCGAAAATTCACCAATTGTTATCGGGAGGGAAAAATCGATAAATTTATTTTTTTTTAATCAGATTTAGTCGAAATGAATCGTTTGTGAAATGTCCTTGAAATTGTTCAGGCGACGCAGGAGCGTCGCGGCGTCGCTTATGCGGGTTTCAGTTTCGAGTTTCGATTTCGAATTCGAACTCGAATTTCAAGTGTACTAAAGTGTCAAGTGTGTAACTGTGATGCCCCATTACAAATAAACGAAAAACAGGGCATGGCTAGCGGTCAATAGAACGCAATCATTTTGTATAGCGTTGAAATTTGTGTTTCAAATACCTTTTTATTTTCTTTTCTGCACCCACACAAACACAACCACACGCACATACTAACACACACACGCCTTAATTTCTGCACATTTAACAGTTTCACTTTATTTCAAAATCGCGGAGTTGAAAAAAAAAAGTATATATATAAACATGTTTAAAATAAAAAATAGAAAAACAGCTCTAATCGGTGTTTTTTTTTTCATTGTTGTTGTTGTTTATTAGGTTTGATAAGAGCTAATGCAAGCAATTTGTTGCTATATTTGAAAGCACTTAGTAAAAAGCGAAAAATTATTGAAAGTAAAAGTCAAAAACAAAATGTTGCGTTCAATTGGCCGCCAGTGGCGCTGTAGTGTTGCGTTTCAGTGCCCTTGCCTTAGCCCTGCCCGCCAGCAACTGCCGCTGGCGCCATCTAGCGAAGGGCGCGCGATGTCAACAAGCGTTGGACAACAATTGAAAGCACAACAACAGCAACAATTACAAGAACAACAACAACAACAACAACAACAAATGCATAAGGTTAGCATCTAAGTGCACTATACAAACCGCCTGGAAACTCAAACGCATATCATTTTTGTATATTTTGATCCGTTGTAGATCGATGAGGAGGTGTCCCGCCTGCTGGCCCTAAAGGCCAAACTTGGCGGCGATGCGGCGCCCGCCAATCAAAAGTTCACCCTGAAAACACCGAAAGGCACGCGCGACTATGCCCCGCAGCAGATGACGCTGCGCCAGGGTGTGCTGGACAAGATTATGCAGGTGTTCAAGCGGCACGGCGGCGAGGCCATCGATACGCCCGTTTTTGAGCTGAAGGTGAGAAGGCGATTGACTTTGTTTCATTTCCTGTTAACTGTTTTTTTTTTAATTGATTGCAGGAGGTATTAACGGGCAAATATGGCGAGGATTCGAAACTCATTTACGATCTGAAAGATCAGGGCGGCGAAATCTTATCAATGCGCTATGACCTGACCGTCCCATTGGCACGCTATCTGGCCATGAACAAAATATCCAGCATTAAGCGCTATCACATTGCCAAGGTCTATCGGCGTGATAATCCCGCAATGACCCGCGGTCGCTATCGCGAATTCTATCAATGTGATTTTGATATTGCCGGCACCTATGATCCGATGCTGGCGGATGCCGAGTGCGTCAAGATTGTTGCCGAAGTGCTGGATACTTTGGATATTGGCGACTATGTGATCAAGCTGAATCATCGCCAGCTACTCGATGGCATGTTTGAGGCGTGTGGTGTGCCGGCAAATAACTTCCGTGCCATCTGCTCGGCGGTCGACAAGTTGGACAAGGTAAACTCAAATGCATAAAACCGAATGCTCAGATGTTTTAAAACAATATTTATTGCTACATTGCAGTCACCCTGGGCGGATGTGCGCAAGGAAATGGTGGAGGAGAAGGGCCTGGATAGCGCCACTGCCGACAGGATTGGCGAGTATGTGCGTCTCAGCGGTGGCGCCGAGCTCGTCGAGCAACTGCTGGCCGATCCTAAACTGAAGGCGGTGCCCAATGCCGTGAAGGGACTCGAGGGCATGCAGCTCCTGTTGAAATACTGCTCGCTCTTCGGACTGGAGCAACGCGTCAGCTTTGATTTGAGTCTGGCGCGTGGCCTTGACTACTACACGGGTGTCATCTACGAGGGTGTGCTCAAGGCGGAGCCTGGATCCACAGGCTCACCCGTTAAGACGCTGCAAAATGGTGATCAGGCGTCCGAACAGGGCGGCACCGTTGGCTCCGTGGCAGGTGGCGGCCGGTATGACAATCTGGTGGGCATGTTCGATCCGCGCGGCAAGGCTGTGCCCTGTGTGGGCGTCTCGATCGGGGTAGAGCGCATCTTCTCTGTGCTCGAAGCCAAATTTGCCGCCAGCAAAGTAAAGTTGCGCACCAACGATGTTGAGGTGTATGTGGCATCTGCCCACAAGGGCTTGCACGAGCAACGACTACGCGTGCTCAACCAGCTCTGGGATGCGGGCATTAAGGTGAGTACGCCGACAAAGATTTGACCGTGCCGAATCATTACCCAATTTATCAATTGCGCAGGCGGAGCACTCATACAAGCTGAATCCCAAGCTGTTGGTCCAGTTGCAACACTGCGAGGAGCACCAAATACCATTGGCCATCGTCCTGGGCGATGCCGAGCTGGCTCAGGGCATTGTCAAGCTGCGCGAGGTGCGCACGCGGCAGGAGTCCAATGTTACCCTGGCAGAACTGCCCGCTGAGATTCGTCGCCGCCTGCAGGAATAGCTATTAACGTTCAACGGCTATGGCCAATCCTCGCAACGTTTCGATATTACAACTATGCTGATGTGTTTTTTTTTTTTTTT